CAGAGGTAGCAGCTCTCGAGAAGCAGAAAACGTGGAAACTCGTTCCACGCGAAGCAGCATGCAACAAGAAAATTATTCCGGTGAAGTGAGTCTTTCATATAAAGACAAATGCAGCAGGCGAACCAGACAGATTCAAGGGGAGATGGGTCATTCAAGGTTTCGAACATACCCACAGCATCGATTATGACCAGACTTTTGCTCCGGTCAGCCGTCATACATCAGTTCGAATTCTTCTCACTGTTACTGCCAGCTGCCACCAAACACTTCGCCAACTGGACGTTAAATGTGCGTTTTTATACACAGACGTCGATGCATTTATATTTGTCGAACTCCCTCACAGTTATGGCAACGGACTCCACATCTGCAAATTACTTAAGTCACTCTACGACAAAAAACAGGCTCCTCATCTGTGGCAGCAGCATCTTCACAAAGCTCTGATTTCACTCGTCTTCGTGCAGATGCCCCACGGCCCTGGAATGTACAGACTCAAATTTCGGTGACACTACATTCACCGGGACCTGGATAAAGTCACAGTACCAGATCGGTACTCGATGCCGCCGGAAGATTCGACCGGCTGGCCCAAGGATGGATCTTCTCTACAATGGACCTAAGGCTCTGGATCAGAGAGAAGGATTGCTGCAAGATGGCGTTCCATAAGGTGGACGGCATATGAATGGCTGTACATGCCCTTCGGGCTGAGAAATGCCTCAGTCATGTTCCAAAGGATCCTGGACGGGGTACTAGCGGGGATAGAGAACACGGCCTGCTACATAGACGACGTGGTTGTCTTCAGCAGCTACGTCGAGGAGCACCTGAAGGACGTGGAGAGAGTGCTCCCAGCAATAGAGGAGACGGAACTCACCTGCCATCCTGGCAAGTGCAGGTTTGGGAGTCAAACAGTGCGCTACCTGGGCTTCAAGGTAGCCGTGGGCAGGATGACGATACAGAAGGCAAAGGTCGCCATCCTAGACAAGCTGGCAGCCCAGAAGGACAAGAGCACACTGAGAGCGGTCATGGGCTTCCTGAATTACTACTAGAAGTTTGTGCCGAACTTCAACAAAAGGGCAAGCCCACTGAACCTGCTGCTGCGAGAAGACAAAGCTTGGGAGTGGGGGGAACAAGATGCGAAGGCACTGCAGGACTTGCTGGAAGCAGTGAAAAATGGGCTTGTGCTGGAGCTGCCCAAGAAGGAGGGACCCTTCATCTTGTACACAGACTGGAGCAGCATAGGGATGGGGGCGGTGCTAAGTCAAAAAGGAGAGGTGGGGGAGAGAGTGGTAGCTTTTGCTAGTTGGAGCTGCAACCCTACAGTAGAAAATTTCAGTTTCTACGAAGGGGAAGGCCTGGCAACCGTGTGCGCAGTGCAGCACTTCAGAGTCTACCTGCAAGGCTGACCCTTCACGCTGGTGACGGATCACAAGTTGCTGATGTGGCTGATGACAAACCAGACGTTAAGTGGAAGGAATGCACACTGGGTGATGTGCCTCCAGGAGTATAAGTTCACCATCCAGCACCGGGCATGTAGCACTCTGCAGCATGCGGACGGGCTATCGAGGATCCCTCCCCCAGCAGAGGCATCAGCCTGCCTGGTGGCGCTGGCCCGGGAGGTGAAGAGAGTGGGGGCAGCACAGGGTAAAAGGGGACCCAAAGTCGTGTTGGGGGATGCAGAGACCCTGGACTGGATTAAAGAAGAGACAGGGGAGTAAGAAGCGGTGAGCGAGAGGGCATGGAACAGGGGGCAGCATTATCACTGGTATGAGAACCAGCTGCAGATCTGGGCTCACGAAGGGTGGAAGCTGGTGCCACGGCCTGAGGATAGAGAGGAGCTGGTGAAGAAGGTGCACAGAAAGCTGGGACATTACGGGCATGAGAGGACCTGGCATCTCGTGGTAGCACAGTACTGGTGGACCGGGATGCGGAAGCAAGTTAAAAAGGTAGTGGGGGCATGCGAGGAGTGCAACCGGAATAGGGCGAACCTGGAGCAGGCAAGAAGAGAGTTGCAGTCCCCACCGATCGTCAACGTGTGCTTCCGCTGGTCGCTGGATTTGGCTGGAGAACTGCCAACGAGAAAGAAGGGAAAGAAATACATACTTGTGATGATGGAGCATGTAGCTAAGTGGGTGGAAGTGCAAGCCACCTGCAGCAAGAGCTCTGTACTGATACCCAAAGCCTGACGAGGTTCGGGGCGTGTGGGGAAGTCCTGATACATCAGGGGACAGAGTTCCGGGGCAAGTTCGATCAGCTGCTACAGCAAGTGGGCATAGTGCATCGGAGAACCTCCAGGTATCACCCTTAGAGTGATGGGCTGACCGAACGCAGAAGCGTGGGATTCGAGCGTACGTAGAGGTGCACAAGAGGATCTGGAATGAGGAGCTGCAGTGGGTGGCGGCGGGCTACCGCTTTAGCAAACAGGCTGCATTGAAGGGCATGTCCACGTACTACCTGCTGTTTGGGAAGGGGCCCCTACTCCCTGTGGATGCACCAAAGCTGTTCACAGACATGGTGACCATAGGTGAAGAAGAGAAATGGGCAGCCCTAGCGGAGGCAAGGGCGAAGTACTTGAAGGAGTTTTTGCCCGCGGCAATAGAGAATCTGCATGCCGCACAGCTGAGGGATGCGCATCGGTACCGGCAGAGGCTGGGAGGGAGAAAGGAGGCGGAGGAGGCCAGGGTGAATGAGGGAAGTGAGGTGTACCTGCCCAAAGCAAAGCAGGATGTGCTAGACATAGGGCTGATGGCGGAACGATGGAATGTGAAGGCCGTGAAACCATCTGGAGTGCTAGTGCTAGAGAATGCAGACGGGGGGGAGGCGTCAGGATCATATCACGAATGTGGCAAGGGCTCATGGATGAGATTTGCGAAGGTTCCAGCCAGCTGTGCAGGGCACAGAGCAGCTGGAAGGGGGCAAGTGGGCAACTCACGAGGGGCATGTAGAGAGAGAGAGAGAGACAAAACACCGTGAGAAGAGAATCCAGATTATGGGTAGGGCATCAGGAGGCGGGAAAAAGGTGAAGCAGAGGCAGAACTGGTGGTTCTCCAACAGCTGTCGCAATATTATAAGTGCAATGCATTTATAAGAAGGCGACAGAGGCAGGAGGATGGGACACGTAACTGGTCAGGGTAGCGGTGTAACACGAACAGCACTGCGCTTGTTGGATCACCCGAGAAATGGGAGAGCAGCGGAAGGACGGAGGTTGGGTGACGTGGGGGAAGACAGCATGAGGGGTTGGAGACCAGCGGCTAACATCACCGTGCGTGTCCAATTGCTTGTACAGGTGTGGGCATGCATGCTTGGAGTGCTTGTAAATGGTGTGCTTGAACTGCAGGCTGGTTGGGGAGTTGAAGGGCCACGTGCTCGCTGAATCTCTTGGCTAGGCTAGTCGCCCTTATACATAGTCGTCGCCAATACCGTGACGAGATCAGCTCGAATCATTGTTTCTTGCTATCTTGATAACAAGTACATGTAAACCCAATAAGTGCCATACAGGGGCAAGTGACTGTCGATTAAACATGCACCTAGAGGACTCGGGCTCGTGGGTGAGTTCTCAGTGAGCGGTCATTTTTCGACAAACATCTCACGAGGGGCATGCAAAGAGAGAGACAAAACACCGTGAGAAGGGATCGGGATTAAGGGTAGGCCATAAGGAGATGGGAAGAAGGAGAAGCAGAGGCAGAACCGGTGGTTATCCGACATCAGCCAGGGAGACCAGTACCGGTGCAGGGAGTAGTGTGAGTGCAGTGTGGTATTGGAAGAAGCAGTGAGAGGCGCCGGAGTCCAGTGTGAAGGAGAGGGCCGCCATAGTGGGGGCAGGGGAGCTACCTAGTCGACATGTAGCAGAGGCTCCGAGACTACACACAGCAGTGGGACCTAAACCCAAAGGCCCCCGGGCCTCCAGAGAAACCACGTGGGCCCCAGGGCAGCGACCACCCCAGGGCCCAACCTCCAAGGCCTCCACCATGTCCAACACTCCCAAGACCGCACCACGGCGGCTGTCGCTGCTGCTGTGGCTGCTGATGTTGCTGAGGCTGCTTCTGCTGCTGCGGCTCGGGGCACGCAGCCCTGTGGCGTACCTCAAGGGCCTCGAGGTGGGCGACAAGCTCACCAGTAATGTGCGCCTCCAGGAGCT